ATTGTAATTAAGCTAGAGCTACCGAACAAACAGGTAGTTCGAATTGCCTCAGACAGCTGTCAGAAATAGATCATGTGCATAAATGTGAGATTAAGCACATACTAGTACTTTATTAAAACCACCTGCCTGATTAAGAGCATATAGGGACGATCATTTGATTGGGGGGGGGGGGGGACTGATAGATTAAGGAAATAAATATTTTAACCTCTACCCCCACCCCTTTATGAAAAGGTGGTGACCTTAACATGGTGAAAAATGTTTTTCCTAACCAAAATTATTTCTCATCTACCATGTCTACTACTTTGTACATGCCATAATCATACTCGTACATGTACCCGTTGATATTTTTTAGATTTTGCATACAGTTTGTCTTTCTGCCACAGATTCAAAGAGAATTCAGATAGAAAATGGAACTATTGAACAATAAATTCTGCCTGGAAGCAAGAATTGGGGAATACAGTGCAAGGGATACCTGCTGCTCTATTTCAAAAGTTATTGGTAAGGTGATTAAGTCCTTGATAAATATCATTAAAAAATATAGCCTTTGTTAACAATAGACAACTTTAGCATTTTCCAAAAAGTATTTCTCTTTGTGGGGAGAATCTGGGTTCAGCTGGAATGAGAGACTGTTCTACCTTTAAGCCAATTAAAAAATTATAATGTGTTTGTTTTTGGTAACATGCCAAAAATATTAGGGAAGGTAGGTAGGCGATACCTTTTTTTTTTTTTACTTTGCTTTTTATTAGCTCACCTGAGCCAAAGGCTGAAGTGAGCTTTTCTAATCACATTTTGTCTAGTGTCCATCTGTCTGTAAACTTTTCACATTTTTTACTTCTTCTCAAGAACCACTTGACCTACATGTATTTCAACCAAACTTAACAACAAAGTATCCATGGGTAAAGGGGGTTCAAGTTTGTTCAAATAAAAGCCACACTTCCTTCCAACTGAAGATAATTACAAATTAATTTAGTGAAAAATTAATATCATCTTTTAAAAATCTTCTTCTCAAAAATCTGTGGGCCAGGAAAGATGAAACTTTTGTGGAAAATCCTCAGGTAGTGTAGATTCAAGTTTATTTAAATCAGGGGTAGGGTGGGACTATAATGGATTATCAAAGTTTTACATAGGAATATATAGGGAAAATTTAAAAAAAATCTTCTCAAGAACAGCAAAGCCATGATTAGTCATATTTATATGGAAGTTTCTTCAGATAGTGTAGATTTAAGTTTGTTTAAATCAAGATCCCTCGGGGAAGGTTGGGGCCACAATGAAAGTTAAAACTTATAGGAAAATAATCTTTAAAAAATCTTTGAAAGCCACAATTAGTCAAATAAATATGGAAGTTTCCTCAGTAAGTGTAAATTCCAGTTTCTTCGAATAATGCCCCACCACTTTAGGGGTAGGTTGGGACCACCAATATGTATTTAAACTTTTCAATACTGAACTGATTTCTGCTTTTTTTCTCCTAGCCACAGTGCTCGGGTGAGATATATGGCCCTTAGGGCTCTTATTTTGTAAGCATCAGTCAAATATTCAGTATGCCGCTGTTTTTTTTTTTTTTTTTTTTTTTTGTTTTTTGTTTTTTTTGGTCATAGTCATATATAAATAGTTAAATACACATATGAATAAAATGTACACAACAAAACAATTGTACTCATTAAAACACTTGGATAGACATGTTTTAAAAGTATCATGGGGGACATCTTTGCAATGCCAGGGGTCCTGGGTCCTGGCTAATTTCATGTGATATTTTAAGTCTTGCTTCTCTCATTGAGAAGCACCAATCAAATTGAAGCTTTCTGAAATATTTAGATATGATAATGTAAACAGGAAGAATCACCTGTTACAAGTTGTTTATCATAGAATATGGCTTAATGTGATTGGTTGAGAGATGAGAAAAACAATGGATTTGAAAATTCCCCTAAAGATAATGCTACAGTCAGCCCATGATATTAATGAATGAAATTGACCAGGGGTCCCATGCAATGTATTGAATCAGGGCCCCTTGGCATTGCAAGGGGGGGGGGGGGGTGTAGCCAGGACAAGTCACTTCAGATGCATGACACTCCTAACCATTTTACAAGGGTCTGTTTTCCTAGGGGGTCAAAGACCTTTTTATTTTTGCTTATTTTCTTAGGCATTTAATATTTTTGTAAATTCCTTGTGGGTCTCCTGTAGATTTATGCTTACTGTATGCATAGCATAGCATTAATATAATTATGTACTATTTAATGTAAAATGTTCAGGGCATAATTATTAATAGTGTTATTGGTTTTGTATTCATCACTCATATAACAGAATGTCTTTTGGCAGTTTACCTTATATTATTCATCATATTGTGTACATGAATAAAAGGACTTGTGACAAATGAAATAAAATGTAGATCATAGATGCATTATTTCTCAAATCCATCAGCCTGGCTTGATTTTCTTGAACTTGGGTCTCTTTTTCTGTTTTGACCTGGAAGTTCATCTGATCCAATGGTTCAAGAGAGCTTTTCTGATCCCTTAAGGACATACGCAACGTACATGTAGTTTGAACTTTATTGTCGTTTTCCTTGGAGTTGTAGATTTCCAATACTTAAAGGAACTGTGTGCTACATTTTAATGTCTATATATTCTGTTGTACACTTCTTCTTAAACAAGTTTGGATAAACATCTAGAATATATGTTTAGTAATTTTCGTATATTTTTCTTTGAATATTATACAAGAATTTTGCATCAATTGGTGTCTTTTCAAAACCCCTGGTATTATTAAATAAAAATACTCCACCAAAGGAATTGTCAAATAAATTGCACCTTGAATTTTACAATGAAGTCTATGGGGAGTGCAGGTTTTATTAAGATATTGTAAGAAGTAATTTGAATTTCATCTAGAGCTCTTGGTGAAAATATGCATAAACTCTCTCTTTATTAAAATATGAAATAAAATGAATCATTTGCCACAGATATTTTGATAAAATTAAATTTTTGGGTTTTTCATCAAGGGCAGATAACTCTTCAAAAAATGTTAAAGTGCAAAATGACCAGCTTCTTTCATGTTATCAGTCATGTGAATTTGGTTCATTTCCCTTTCATCATTATCTAGCAATACATTTTTAACTAGTTTAAAATGATTCAAAACAGTTCAAAATCCATTCAGTATACACTGAATACCTTAATACATGTATCAGACTTTCTCAACAGAACTACTGGACCAGTTTTAACTAAACCTGGCACAAATGCAGGAGAAATTTATCTTCAATGAGGAGAAAACTAAAAAGTAATAAAATTTAAGTAAACAATAAAATTCATTTTGGCATGAAGACCATTGGTTTCACTAATAGGATGCTTCCTTTTCATACTAGTTATCATGAAAAAAATTGGCAGGAAAAAAGTTCTCCAACTCAGGTTTCCCTTGATTATGCATGGTAATTATAAAAACTCTAACTGTGTTTCAAACTTTTTATTTCAGGGAATTTGTGATAGAAGATTGTGCAGATCTGGACAAAAATTTAATGTGAATAACTTTGAAGAAAGAAGTCTTGGCAAATTTCAGAGAATTTTTGATGGAAGAATATGTGTTGTTCCTGAACATTTTGCACATGAAATTTGTCCTTTTGACATCATTTGACACTAATTTGAAGTGATGCATTTTTGATAAATTTGTACATGTATATGAAATACTCCATTTAAAGTGTCACATCTGTGTCTCAGGTTACTGCTGATAAAGTGGGATCTGCATGAGTGAACAAACTTGAATTTCTGCATTTATATTGATTCCATTTATGAAATTTGTATTTATATTTACCAAAGTACCAAAGAATGTATTAAAATTATATGAAAATGGATGATTTGTGATGATTTTTTATGGTATTTTCTTGGATCTGAATGTCAAACATATAAAGGAATGCATGTTGGAAAAGCTGGATTGACTTCTTTGAGCTCTGCCATACATGTATGTACATGCGATAATGGCATTTTTATGTACGTATATGGCAGCTTATGGTGAAGGTCGAAGTTTTTCAAATTCATGTCAAACTCCAAGGTCAAGGTCAAGAGATCACAAATGTTATTATCCAAAGACAGGTCTTGTCTCAAGAAATGTGCCAGTAAAATACGAAAGCCCTAGCACTTACCTTTGAAAAGTTATGGTGAAGATTAAAGTTTTTCAAAAGTCGAACAACAAGTTCAAGGTCAAAATTAATGGTGGTCATGGGAAGGTCTTGTCATAAGAAATATGAAGCCCTAGCCCCAACTGTTCAGAAATTATTGCCAAGGTAAAAGTTTGGTAAAATTTTACAAAAATGGGTCAAACTCAAAGGTCAAATATGTTGGTACCCAAAGAAAGGTTTTGTCACAAAGAATACACATGTGAAAAATGAAATGCATAGCTCCAACAAAACAAAAGTTATGGGAAAAGTTAAGTTTTGGGGACATACATACAGATAGACAGGGGAAAAACTCTAAACCCCTGAATCATCTTTGATTAGGGGGGCATAAACAACACTGATGTATTATACAGATTTGTTCGCACTGTACAGGAACCAAATGATGGCTATAATATGGGGTCAAAACTGAAAAAAGGTAAAAATTAGGAAAATTATGCATTTTTTTGTATAGTGTATATGTGTCTGATAATCCATAAATACATGCACGCATTTTAATGTAAAAATGACAATTATGCAGTACCTCATGCTTGACCATGAGAAGAAATTCACACTCAAATTTAGTATTCAAAAAAAAAAAATTACATGTAAATGTAATGTGAAGCAGTCACCCATTCAAGGGTTAAACAGGCTCGACATTGCTTAACTTGTCTAATATAGAGGGAGATTTTACCGCATCACTAGAAAAGCTAGCTCACTAGCGACTCAGTACAAGTTCCCTATATACTGTCTGATACATTGGTACATATTTCCTAAAAATATAAGCACATAACAAAACTAAAGAAAATTGTTTATTATATTGTTTCAGTCTGACATAAACCTTTTTTTTTCTTAGATCAATTGCAATCCACACAAGAGAGAAATGAAATATCTCTAAATTTCAGTAACATATCAGTGTCCTGTTTGTGTGTGTACATGTGGGATTTCATCTGCTATTGCATCTGTACATATTCTGTATTGGTAATCTTGAAATGCTTAGATTGATGTCATGGATTCTCAAATTAGATAAATCATCTAGTCTAAAACTTATAGGCTCAGTGTAAAAGATCTAGTAGTACAGAATTAAGTGATAGCAATAAGTCTGGCAGTCTATAAATCCATCCGAATTTAAATAGATCTGTCTCCTTCTTCAGATCCTTTTCTTTCAAACAAAACATTTTTCAAAATTGGTTATGACGTCGTCCATAGGCATTTCTGAAATATAACAATACTATTACATCACCTGATTGTTGATCAATGAAAAGGACACATAACAAGAGGCCCATGGGCCATAATGCTCACCTTAGACACCTAATAATGCTCACCTTAGTCACCTTGTTCCTGGCTGAAGAATTTTTTAAAAAAAAAGTCCTTTATTCCAATGAAAAATTACCTAATGTTGTGGCCTCACCTTAGCCTAAAGGTTTGTAATTAAAAATTTACTTGAACCCCATAACATGTTCTTGTGTCCTTCCATCACACTTTGAACTTTTATATGCTGATACATATTGATGAGAGCTACTCAACATTTTTTTACCTTGACCTTTCCTTTGAACCTGACCTTACTTTTCTTGAATTAGAGTGTTTAGCTCAGTTTCAAGAGCTATTTAAGATATTTTTATCAAATCTTATATGCTGATACATTGATGGGACCCATTCAACTTCATCAACATATTTTTGATTTGACCTTTCCCCTGACCTTGACCTCATTTTTCTTAGATTAGTAAGTAGCTCTATTCAAGAGAATTGGATCAATCTTCATATGCTTATACATATTGATAAGAGCTATTCAGTTGCATAAATTTTGTTGATCTTGACTTCTCTCAATTTCTCTCAATTTTGTGTTAATTGCTAAGCTCAATTTTAAAGAAAAAATTGTGATTTTTTATTCAAACTGCATATGCTGATACATTTTGAAGAGTGTTATTGAACTGCAACATAAAATTTTGACCAGGACTTTTCCTTGGACCTTGATATCACTTTTTTCTTAAATAACTATATGCATGTAACACAGTTTCAACAAAACAATTCCATATGCTTTTATGTAAGCTTATGCACTGATGCAAAATTTGTTAAGAATTTATCAACTTTGTTCAACCTTTTTACCTGGACCTTTCCAATGACCTTTTTTTTCAAGATATTATCAACAAACTTCATACACAAATGCAAAAATGCAAATTTTCATGATGCATGATAAGCCCTAGTAGGGGCATTCATGTCCTATGGTCAAATTTCTAGTTTGTAGTATATTCCCATGCAAATTTTTAATCCCATACTGTGGCTCCATCCTCTCAAAGGGCAATCTCCTATGCAGAGTTGTCATTCGTTCCTCTCTCAGACACCTCTGCAATGGGCTCGCATCAAGATTTTGACATTATAATGTAAAAAACATAACATTCCCAGAATTATTTTAAATTAAATTAATAGTTCTAGATCTACTTGGAAAGTAGCTACCTTTAGGAACAAAATTAGTGCAGGCATTTAATTAAAATGAATTTAAACAAACACACTATTTTTCATGTTTATCACTGTGATATATGCGAGCAGATGACAGAGGTGAATGTATGAGCCGATGGTAGAGTGCTCAAAGGGGTCTTATTTGACTGAAAATGAAACTACGCTATGCCAGGAAGTTTTCACATAAGTTTTAATTTTTCTGCCTAGTGGTTCTTATGAAGATTTTCAAATGACACCGTCAAACATTAATTTTCTCTTTATGACCTCTCCTTGGCTCTTCATTTGAAAAAAATTAAATCCTTTCCACCAAATATTGTCTAGTGACAAATTTGGTTGAATTCTGGAAAAAAAAGTTGAAAATGTGAAAAGTTTACAGATAACTCAACATTTATGAATGATAGACAGATGCTAGACACTCTTTAATCAGAAATGTTCACTTTAACCTTGGGCTCAGTGAGCTTAAATGTACAGTATTTAATAATAATTATAAAGTAGATGTCTGTTTTCAATATATTAAGAATGTAAATATAAATATAGCACCTACTATATTATCCACATCCTAAAATTTATATATTCTGCAGCATGTTTTTTTTTTAAATTGTACTGCAGAATATATCAATTCTAGGATGTACAAAATTTTCAAAAATTCTGATTAATGTAAAAATGTGCAATTACTCTTTAGATTTTCTTAATGCCCCCCCCCCCCCCCACCCTTCCTGGCTAAATCTGCCACTGTGATAAATAAATCAATTTCTAATTCTTTTGAACACTGAATGTCCTTTTTACCTCTGTGCCATCCATAATTCCTTGAATGTAAAATCCTTTTCTTTCTTTACAACACTGTTTTCTTTTTTTTTTAAACCTGTATACTTCTATAAATCAAGATTCTTTGTATAGCTCCTAAAATAAAATGTGCAAATTATTCTTTAAACAAGAGGCCCATGGCCCACATCGCTCACCCAAGCACTTTGGCTAGGAAAAATTGGAAATCAGTTCAGTATTGAAAAGTTTTAAATATATGAGTGGTCACAACCTATGGGGGGCATGATTTGAACATACTTGAATCTACACTAAATGAGTATGCTTCCATATTTATTTGACTCATCATGGCTTAAGAAGATTTTTAAAGATTATTTTGTCATAAGTTTTCTCATCTATTGGGCCCCTCCCTACCCCCATGAGTCCTGATTTAAACAAACTTGAATCTATACTTTAAGAGAATGCTTCCATATAAATACAGGTATGACTAATCATGGCTTTGCTGTTTTTGAGAAGATTTTTTAAATTTTCTCTATGTATTCCTATGTAAAACTTTGATAATCCATTATAGCCCCACCCTACCCCTGGGGGTCATGATTAAAACAAACTTGAATCTACACTACCTGAGGATTTTTCCACAAAAGTTTCATCTTTCCTGGCCCACAGATTTTTGAGAAGAAGATTTTTAAAAGATGATATTAATTTTTCACTAAATTAATTTGTAATTATCTCCAGTTGGAAGGAAGTGTGGCTTTTATTTGAACAAACTTTAACCCTCTTTACCTCAGGATTGTTGTTAAGTTTGTCGAAAAAGGTCAAGCAGTTCTGGAGAAGAAGTCAAAAATGTGAAAAGTTTAAAGAGATATGGACACCAGACAAAATGTGATCAGAAAAGCTCACTTCAGCCTTTGGCTCAGGTGAGCTAATAAAAAGTAAAGTAATAAAAAAAAGTTATCGCCTACCTACCTTCCCTAATATTTTTGGCATGTTACCAGAAACAAACACATTATAATTTTTTTATTGGCTTAAAGGGAGAACATTCCCTCATGCCAGCTGATCCCAGATTGACCCCACAAAGAGAAATACTATTTTGAAATATGCTAAAGTTGTCTATTGTTAACAAAGGCTATACATGTATTTTTTAATGATATTTATCAAGGACTTAGTCACCTTACCAATAACTTTTGAAATAGAGTATCCGGGATCCCTTGCACTGTATTCCGCAATTCCTGCTTCCAGGCAGAATTTATTGTTCAATAGTTCCATTTCCTATCTGAATTCTCTTTGAATCTGTGGCAGAAAAACAAACTGTATGCAAAATCTAAAAAATATCAATGGGTACATGTACGAGTATGATTATGGCATGTACAAAGGAGTAGACATGGTAGATGAGAAATAATTTTGGTTAGGAAAAACATTTTTCACCATGTTAAGGTCACTACCTTTTTATAAAGGGGTGGGGGTAGAGGTGGCAAATTTTGTCAAGTCAGATTATTTATATATTTTTAGCATTCACAGGACAGAATATTTATTTCCAGTTGATCTAAGAATGATTATTTACTTTCTTTTCTTGTCCAAAATCAGAAAACCACTTAACCACATGCAAGAAGGGTGTGTGTGTGTGTGGGGGGGGGGGGGGGGGGATATCACAGTGACAGTCATGGTCTGACAGGGTCATTGTTTTCCTTTATTTCTAGCAATGCCAGTGGATGAAGTTAATTTACTTAAAAATCAAGGTTAAAATATTTATTTCCTTAAATCTATCAGTCCCCCCGGCCCAATCAAATGATCGTCCCTATATGCTCTTAATCAGGCAGGTGGTTTTAATAAAGTACTAGTATGTGCTTAATCTCACATTTATGCACATGATCTATTTCTGACAGCTGTCTGAGGCAATTCGAACTACCTGTTTGTTCGGTAGCTCTAGCTTAATTACAATAAACTGACAGCTGATTCAAGAGACATTATCTGAATGATGCCAGTCATTTACATGTACATTAATGATTAGTCTTTACTTACCTCTTATAGCCTAGCTAACGTTGGACTTTCTGTCTTCCACTTTGTTTACATGATCGAACAGCGCACATGGCCTTTTCACGTGACGATCTCCCTCGCATCGACGCTTGTTTTCCGTCACGCTTCAAATAATATTTCTCCACGCTCAAGATAATATTTCCTTCACGCTTCAAATAATGTGTGCAGCCACAATTATAATCGCGTCTCAACATAATTATTGTTTCAACAGGAGGGCAGAGTTTTCGTTCCTGTCACTAGAAAAGAAGTTATCTTTCCTGTTGAAAAATAAAAATAATTGCGAACAAGGGCGCACATCATTATTATTGTTGCAAAGATTATAACGTTGACTTGGTACATTATACTTTTTAAGCGTGTACATTTTTATTTATTTTCAGTCAGTACATTATTGTTACAGGAGGTGAAGTCTTATAAATTGTTGAAGCAAGAATAATTATAATCTTGGTGCAAAATAAAAATTATGTGTACGAATCGACTGACAAGATTATAATTTGGAGGTGTATAAAAATAATGTCTCCGTACTAACTGAAAAGATTATAATTGTAAAGTGAGAATAATTATTATAATGTAGGGGCAAAATAAAAATAATGAGTACACATGGACGGACAAGATTATAATTGTTGTAGGAAAATAATAGTGTTAAAAAAAAAAAAAAAAAAAAAAAAGCAAGATTTTTATTTTGGGATGAGATAATTATTTTTGGTATAATTATATAGGAAAAAATAATAATAATGTGGGGGTACCCTACGGCTTTCCATAGAAAAGATCAGTCATTTTGAATCTTTTTTATCAATTTTTTTTTTAATTTATGCACTTCAAGAAAAAAAAAGTAGAATGTTTTTTAAAGTAATCGTACAACATTGTTCAGGTGTCTATATTTCATTCCATATATTATTTACTGGGCTGTGCCGAATCCATTTGGCCGGGTTTGTCTTTCTTTTTAAGTCAATATTTGCTGAAACAGATTTGCTAAAGCAAAATCACGCTACTTTAGAAATAGCAATTTAAAGCTGATTTATAGGTACTAATGAAATGGATATCAATGTTCAGATTTCATATTTGTTGGAGAAAGCTTTTTACTTCAAAATATGTTTTAAAGTATTTGATTACATCAATGAAGCACAAATGAATCTATATGAAACTGCGTTGACAAAATCCATCATGAAGGAAACAAAATATATTTTAAGTTAGTCCGCCATACATATAGCAAAATTTAGAATCATAGATATTGAGGATATTCATTTCATTATTTAAGAAGAAGTAGACAGGGGTGGTATAAAAAAATCAGACTAGATCAGATTAATTTCATACATAGCTGAATTGAACTGCATCTGCTATGAAAAAAGTTAATATTCCTATACACATTTCAGATTACAAGATATAAAAAAGCTAGTTGGTCTATATGGTACATACAAGGAAAGCTATTACCAGAGGACAAAAAAAAAGGAATGCGTATAAGATTGTGTTTGTGTGTTAGACATTCATAGATCAATAAACAACAATATTTCAAAGATTGACAATTATTTTGAAGATTGATAAACAATGTCGTAAACTACTGCAAAATTATTTCTAAGGTATGCGTATAAGAAAAAACAAGATTTAACATACCTTGATTCTTTAAATAAAGTGTTATCTTGTCTTGTTGATCTTGAAGGAACTAAATTGAATTCAGATTTATTTTCACTATTTATATATATTCTACAGTATAAGACGAAGAATTTTATTGTCACTCTCTCTTGTTAAAGAAAACACAGCCATTACTGAGAATTCTAATATTTTTTGAAGAAATCAAAATTCACGGAAAAACTATTTATCAGATCGAATCAGATAATTTTCGGGTGAAACAGGTTTCAATTATTATCTTATTAATCTGGCATCGCGATGTGGAATTTATAGGAGGGAGAATGATTACTCAATTAGAACTGTCCTGTACTCATTTAAAAATCTCTCTACCTTGCCAGCTACATTTAAAAATTTTATTGACATATTCTGGATTTTTCCATGTGTAAACAGGACTATCCTCAAAACAACCTGTTTAAATGTGTTTTCAACATCTTGTGTGCATAAATGAAAAGTACATCAAGAACAGGCAGCAACAGAACTGAGAGTCCGAGAAAGTGAGGTTTTCGTTTCTGTTTGGTAAATCAGTGTTTTTGTCCATATTTATGGCGAAATATCAGACGCAAGTAACAAAGTTTAAGGTCCATGACTTTGTCTAAAAATTGATAAGGCCATTTGAAGTTTTTTTTTTTTTTTTTTTTTTTTTTTTTCTGTTTAGCGTACACCTTTCATTGAAAAACCTACCAACCTATTCACAAAAAAACACACAATCCGAAAAAAAAGAACACATAAAAACTTGATTTGTGTTGCACTTTCTGTGTAACATAAAGATAGTAAATGCTATGTTTATTTCTAATGTGATAGATTCTCGTCAAAAATAGCCAGAACTCAAACGGTTTAAACAAATATGATCAGTTTTCTGGAATACCGGTTCTGATTTGTGTCTCTATTCGTGATCTGATAAGAAAACAAATCTCTCGCGGACGCTTCACATAGAAATAAAAAAAGGAATTGCTACACTATACAAAATTGGAATCATAGATAAGAAGATGACTATTTTATTTTCAGCAATGATAGAATTCACTGGCTTTATATTCATACATTTTTTTTTAACTTTTTCACATCATTAATTCCCCAGTCATTTCTGCAGGTGGTTCACCAACGATCTCGAGACCTACTCTGTTTCCGACAGTAACAAGAAATTGTATGACATCACATTAAATGTTTTGAATGGCTTTTGCAAACTTTATTTTGTTACAGAAGACTGGCCTCCCCATTACAATTAATTAGTGGAGTTCGTGTCCTACCTATCGTATAAGCAGTATTCTCCTAATACGGTTAAATCTTAGATATCTGGGATATCTTATTTTTGTAAGCTTCAGAATCTTCTTAATTTGACTTAATCATTTTTACTCAGAAAAATGCTTGTCAGATTAAGCCGTAATAAAAAAAAGTACATGTTGATGACCGGAATAAATAACTTAGAAAAGTTTATCAAGCATACTTCATTTGATTGCAAATCCCCATATGAAGCCGCTGTGTTCTCAACTTTTTGGGCTATTTCAGAATGGGAGAGCTGGTTCAACATTCGGTGCATGACACTGGTCATGCTATTCAGGATGGGGAATTAATCTACCGCGAACACAACAATACAGTCCTCATTTTCGTTAATTACTAAAAATTTGATCAGAAGGGAAGGTGGCACAATAACACTAGCTGCTACAATGTGCGCCTAGTTCAATCATTTATGTGTTTAAGACCCAACATTGCTTCAGCATTTTTTGTCAGCTTTCGGTGCCAAGTATCTTCGGTTTTTAATATGGACATAGAAAAATTAGGTTTAGACAAGCTAGCTTATAAAACCCATTCCTCCCGCATAGGGACAGCTTCCACTGCTTAGGTCAATGGATTAAGCGTACAAGATATTGCTAGTAGGGTTAGATGGAAATCCCAGTGTTTGTACAGTTACATTAGTAATAAAGATTTAATTCATCCTCAGCCTCATTTATTTTTTATTGTCCAATTTTTGTAAAAAGAATATTGATCATTGGGTCTTCCATAGTTAAGCATGCCTTTTGTCATGCCAGAAAAGCCTTAGAGTAAGACTGTCATAATGCTACCATGTTTTGGTAAGGCTAAGGGGCTAAGGGGGTATGACGTTGGAAGAGAGTATCTGAGGGTCCACCATTGATGCTTGCTTTTAGAGGATAACCAAATAAAAAAAAATCTTAAGGGGTATCATGCAAATTGTTATTTTTCCTATGCATGCCTAAGCTTAATTCATCTTTTGATAAAAAGAAGAATGTTGGAGTTTAAAAAAATGCAGATGAACTCAAGATGCGTTCCGAAGAGTAACGTCATTTCGACGTCGGTAACATTTTTGCCGTGCAGCGATAGACAAAACCTAAATTTAAGTTGTGTTTATTTTAATATTTTAAAAGTATTTTATATAAATTTATGAGATTCAAAGGTATCAAAATAGATAGGGGAATTAGTATGTAGAATTCGATTGATAACATTTGATTAATAAATATTTTTTTAGCAGCTGTGGCAATACTTTAGGATCAACCCTCGTAACTAATGTATTTACTAAATCAATCTTAGCTTTATTTTGTTGATTTTCCCTTTCTTAATTATCATGATATTTGAGGAGTATAAAATTGGTCGCACTGCCTTGGATTATTTATCAACCTTTTCATTGCTAAGAAATTTTCACTATATACGATAGTATGATAAAAAATTATAATGATAAAAAAATTTTTGGGAACAATTATATAATATTATAATTATCATCAACTTATCTTGTGGTATCACTTTTATTTCTCACTTTTGCTTTCAAAAGAATATTTAAAGAACATTCATAAAATCTATATATATATATATATATATATATATATATATATATATATATATATATATATATATATATATATATATATATATATATATATATATATATATATATATATAAAGTTTTATGAATGCTGTTTGCAGATTAGTGAAAAAAAGTTCACAAAACTCAACATAGTGTATGTTAAATAAACCGGACATGAATTATCAAAACAGTTTTTCAACTGTATATATGAGCCTATTTTTCACTATCAGTATTGAACTTTATTTTGAAAAATAATATTATTTTCAGAATGGATATCGAGTCATTCACTCAATGGGATATGAAAATGAAAAGGTTTTTCTTAATGTGGTTGTTTTTCATATCATCGTAGGTTTAATAACTGTATGACTGTGCGTTTCATGTGATATTTGAGAATTTAGCATTTTAATTGCCGAATCAGTTAATGATTCATCCCTGATATTCTGCATGACACAAAGGCTTATTCAAGCATTAATAAATACATGATATGAACACAGCTGAAGGGAAAAAAAAGGGAAATAAAAACGCATGAATCTTTCCCTACTAAAATTCTCCACCTGAAGCAGTTGACGCCTCTACTAGTATATGAGTAAAAATTCTCAAATGGATCATTAAGCGACATACAATCAATCAATCAATCAATCAATCAATCAATCTAAATCTCTATACTTAAATGATTTGACT